GTAGACTAGGCGCTCGAGGAGTTTAGATGTAAATGGGAGCACGGAGATGGGTCTGAGGTTGTTCGGGTCATTGGGGTCCAGGGAGGGCTTTTTAAGTATGGGGGTGATGTGTGCATGTTTCAGAGAGGAAGGGAAAGTGCCGGAGGAGAGGGAGAGATTGAAGATGTGGGTGAGGGAGCGTAGGATGGAGGGGGAGGGAGGTTGGTAGCTTGAGAACAATAGATTTGATGCCATGAGAGGTATTAAGTTAGCTGAGACCAGGTAAGTTGATGTCAGCTTTAGCAAATTGAAGCTCTAACAGAACATCACTGAGTTCTTGAAACTTTAGGTTGTTGCTAGCAGAAATCCTTGGAAAGCTTTGGAACCTTTTGAATAAAGCATCTTCAATGGCCTCTGGGCTGCCAAAGGTATGTTCAAGTCTGCCCCAAGCAACATTAATGCCTGCAGCAGGGTTGTCAATATGAACTGCTTTGAACCTCTTGATACGTTCAATAGACTGGGGACCTAGCCATCTAATGGGTAGATCTAATTCCTCTGTGGCATTGATGTCTAGGTCACTCATTGTGGCCTTAAAAGTGGATTTCCAGCCTCTGTAATTTTCAGGCTTGTCATCAAACTTGGTGAGGCCTGTCTTAACAAGCTCTTTGCGGAGCACGTATTTAGAAAACTGTGACATGTCCATGTTTTCATATTTTGGGTGCATGACTGCAGGTGGAACAGAGTTGGTTGTGACGGTTGGTGGACTTTCGTCAAGTGACTTAGGAACATATGTTACTGCTAAGGCATTCAGTTCAGTGCCGGAGCTGGCTTAAAGTCCATTTGCTTGTTGGTTTGTAGAATAGAGCGTTTGCTAGGAGGTACTCTGTTGGTGCCAAAGTATGGATGGTCTACTAAATACATACCAGTGTCTTCGGCTAGCTGAGATGCTACAGTTTGATGTATTGGAGAATATAAGGGCAAATCGTCTTGAGGTACAGTATGTGTAGAGAAGAGACTTTGATTGGGTACTTTGGCTGTTTTGACAGGGAGTTGACGTACTGGAGAGGTGTGTAAAGAATCTGAGACATAAGATACAACGTATAACTTCTTATGTGACTGAGTTCAGGTTTTAATGCAATAATTGCAGGAAGATTTTCTTTTTCTTTTTTATAAGTTCACAGACAAGAGTTGTGTTGTAACGTGTACACATGCAGTGTATAAACTTGCAGTTGTAAAACATTCACTTCAATATTTTGTCCTGACACTGATGAGTGTTATGCTGGGATATACTTGCAGACATGTACAGACTTGTGTAGAGGTGGCTGCACTCTCTATAGCTGTTATATCCAGTATCCATGTAACATCTCGCTGTGTATACTAGTTAGCAAGGGCTCTTATGAAGCATTCAACCGTTCTTTTGACTAGCCAGGATGAAGCATTCAACCGTTCTTTTGACTGTTCTGTGTCTCCAATCTAAGCATTGATAGTGTGATCTCTGTAACTTACAGTTGTTATGAGATAGCGATAACTTCAACCCTGTTGGATACCACAGTCAGTGACTCAATGAGAATGACATCTTGTAGATCTTGTGAAGTTTATTCCATGAACTGAGAGAATCTTACAACAATGAACATTCCATAGGTCAAAAGAACATGCTGTTTCCTGCTCCATGCCATGAGGCTAATTGCAATGCATCTCTGGGAAAAGGGGAGGGCTATCTATGCAACATTAGCTGAACTAAAGGAAAGGGAGGAGCAGAGAAAAAATATAGAAAACATTTAAAGGCATATGACAGTCAATATGACAGTCATGTGAAGCATAACACTGTATGCAGGATGGAGAGGACATGGAGATGACTGTGTGCAGGATGGAGATGACATAAGTATGGCTTTGTGCAGGATGGAAATGACATGGTAGGTAGATGACTGTGTCAGGTCAGAAAGAGAGAGAGAGAGAGAGAGAGAGAGAGAGAGAGAGAGAGAGAGAGAGAGAGAGAGAGAGAGAGAGAGAGAGAGAGAGAGAGAGAGTACTAGTGGCCAATAAGACTTCATGCATGTGATAAGGAATAACGAAGGAACATGCTGACAGAAGAAGAGAGCAGGAAGATGACCTTGTCCGTTTGGCTGCTTAAATGCAGTAGAGAAAACTGTAAGGGCTGTTTATATCTTGATAACGAGAAATACAAATCCTTCAGAAGGTAGAACAGATTTTTTTAAACATGTTAATAATGTATTTGACACTTTGCATGGAGTTCAGCTTTAACCCATCATAGTACCTCTCATGGTGTAATGGTACCCTCTATACTTAGCAGACCCTCAGGCTCAACAGTCATCCAACAGATCGACAAGGGAAATACATATTATTCCGTTTTTTTTGTCTGTTAAATTTTGTTCTTCTGAGATAAATGTAGTGTCATGGGTTTCTGTGGTGCATACATGCACACCCATAGAACACTAGTGTATCTGTCTATTTACAGGTCTGGTAGCAAACATTCTAACACTATCTTACTATACATTGAAGCTTGCTCATGCATTAGATTGTTATTCTCAGAGTTGTTTACTAATGTTGATTTGGTTTAAACCGGAACCCACGCATGCACAACAGGCTTTACCATTGATTTGTTTGTTGTTGCTAATCAATTTGGAATAAAAAGCACAGTTCAGCAAAGATGGAGCAAATTGGTACATGTTTTGTAGTGGGCAAATTGTAAACTGTGGTCTGGATATTGTAGAAATTGCTGAATATTATTATTAATAACAATAATAATAATTATTATTATGAAACTATGCACTCTTAAAAAAAGCTTAACAAGGACTTTGCATTGTAAACACATCACAGTGAGTGGTCTACAAATGAAGACAACAGAAACGGTCTACTAAGTGTGTTATGTTTTATAGCTCCTGCTGCTATTATTATATAAATATATATATTATCTGCTGTAAATGTCAATGTGCTGAAAAATACCTTACTGAAGTCAAAGGAGATGGATTATGTAATATGTAACATGTAGCTGAGATAGATGTAATGTATTGTCAACAGGTATTCACAATGGATCTCTGTAGGTAACTAAAGCTCTACACACCAGTTACCCTTGGCATGTTCATATCTGCTATGATAATAGTTTAGGGTCAAAATAGTTTACATATACATATCCAGGTTCAAGCGCTTCAAGGTTAAATGGCTGGACCAGCCTGGAAAAAAAAGAAGTAGAGATTTATATCTGATTTAAGCTTACTAAATCAAACATACCCTAGAAACACCCCCGCTGGGCTACCAACATTGCCAGCTCCTGACACCTTTGCTAGCCTACTGCCTACAGTGCAATTAGCCCTGCAGGCTCTTCTGTTGAGTATCAGTTGTAAAATTTAAAACCTTTGCTGTAGAGTAAAATAATCCTCTGTCTCCTAGTTTTCATCCTAATCCAGGCACACAATGTTTGTGGCTATTGTTTTTTTCTGAAATAATACACTCTGATGTTTATTTCAATATAAATACCACCTTGTCTTTCCCTCTTACTGTGCAACTTAATCAAGCTGTCTACATGCTCTCCAACAAATGTAGAATGTTTGTTGTATTTGTCTCTGAAAATATATTGTTTCTCTAACTTTTATTTCATGATAAAGCCTGCCTCACCTCTCCTTCTTTCACTGTGACCTAATAAGGTCTCTTACTGCTTCACCTGTACAAAATCTGTGGTTTATTTTGTATGCTATCCTTGAACCTTGGATCATGACCTGGACTGAGGGGAGCAGTAAAGAGCCACATAGTGAGGATACCACCAGAAAGAAAGCAGGAAGCCCTTTGTGCTTGGCGTTAGGAGGGAAAGCCTCTGCTTATACAGGACTGGTAAGAGGCCCTTGGTCAACCATGCACTGAAACCTAACAGAGGGACAGACTTGCCGGTTAGGAACACTTGACTTTTGCATCAATTAACTATTAAAGGGGCACTAACTAGAGTGCTTCAATGCAAGATTTTGGGCCCCAATTAGCTCGCCAGCAGAAAATTTAGTGCATGCAGACTACTGACTGCTGATTGTAGCTGTGCCAACCACCTATAAGTCCTCTCCACTCTCTTTATCTAGGCCACCCTGTGTAGGTTTAGAAAAGCGGTGGGTTATTAAATGTTCATTGTTTGCAGCTTGGTACTCATCTCAGTGAATCCCTACGATATTATCGTTTACCAGTGTTTGATTGTTAACTACTGTATACAATATACAGTATTTGACTGATACTTAAACAAGTCTGTGTAATTTTCTGGTGTATATGTGTTACTGTGTTAGGGGTTATTTATACGCACTTGTGTCTGCATCTATATCCTTAGCCCAACCAGGTGTGTCAGAGAGTACAGAGCTGTTAGCAGAGTTGTGAGCACAGGAAGAGAGGACACGACACATCAAGCGGCTCCTTCAGGGGTAAGCAATATGTTATAAAAGAGTGGCCACAAAATGCTGCTTACATATTGGGTATTGACTGTACAACATTTCTGGCTTATAGTTTCAATATTTCTGGCTCTTGTCAGTAAAATAATAATCAACTCTTATTTTTGTTCATGATAAAAACTCTTCTGTCATTCTTTCTTACATTGTAGCTTAATCAAGTTGCTTACATACTCTACAGCCACTGTACTATATGTGTGGCTATTGTCCCTGAAATAATACACTCTATTTTTTGTTTCAGAATGAAGACTGATTCTGGAATGCACTCTGTTTTGACATTAAACTTTTAAAGCAGAACTTAACCGGTTCTGAATTACCACCCCCCGCACCCCTCTTCTGTGCCACAATATAAAAAAAAAACTGCTCATGTGCAGATGCACCATTGGTCTCCAGGCATTTGGAGATGGAAGAAGTCAGCAGAAGATTTCTGTATGCATGGTGGATTTCCACACAAATGGATAGTTCCCAAAAGTCACAAATTACACGGGACACTCACGGATATCAACCTCCCTGGTGGTATTCCCGAGTGTAGCTCAGGATTAACTTTCAGCACCACAAGCAGAAACCACGAGCTACACTCAGGATTACCCTGCAGCGTTGCTCCAGGATCCCTGTTTCACTTACCTTGTCCTGTGCTCCTGCGATGTCCCCCCTGCAGCGTCCCCGGCCATCTCCTCCAACCGACGTACGGGGGATGGAACCTGCGGGAAATTCATACATTTTAAAAGTGACATTCACTCAATACACTAAAATCACATAGTAAAACATTACTGTATCAAAGCATTTCACATACATTTTGTCCCTAGTGCTTTGTCCTGTGCCCTGCCTGCATTTTTACTGTTCTTTCTGACTGGAAACAGAAATGTAAGTGGCGTCCAAAAAGCGTCCCTTTAGGTCAAAAGTGGCTTTAGACCAGCTAGAGAACAGCGATAGTAAATTAGAATTACTTTCAGAATTGAGTGATAACGATTCGTGGGGAAATTCGTCATCAGACACTGAAAACGATATTGCAACTAAGCTCAGTGATGTGCTAACTTGGCGCTATATTTCAAATTTCAGTGTTTTTGGTTTGATTATATTATTGAATTAAATGTATTATTTTTATATTATAATTTTTTCTGATTATTTATTATACTATAATTTATGATTTCGTGTTTCAAATTTTATCATATCCGGGATGTTTACTAGACTCTTGTTTGGACAGATTTCAGTGAGTTATTCCTAAAAATTACAGGCCTACAATAAAAAAACAACATATTTCCATGCAAAAAAATGTACCGCTTTGAGCACAGAAATAATGACATAATCAGACCGCTAGGGAGGTTAATAAAATGTCCCAGCATGCCTTTGTCCTGGCCAGACCTCTGGAAATCAGACCCGCTCACTGACACCAGCCTTTTTAGTGTCATTACCTGCCGCAGCTGTGTGCCTTCGCATCGGAGTAAACAATGATATTTACTGGTGCTCATGTAGATAGACAGAGATCGGGACAAGTCTCGTCCCCCTCCTCCAGCAGTAACTTTCATTAGCCCTGCTCTGTGGTGAAGGACTGAAGGGAACAACCCCTAGAAGGAGGCTTCCTCCTCATTACTGGCTATGCTGTATGAGTGGGCGGGGATGGGGACGCTGCTGCCCTATGATATGCAGACTCCATCGGTGATATCAGTGGGAGGCCAGTCCAATCAGAGTCAGCATAGCATTCCCGCGGTATTTTCATCCTCCTGACATGCTTGCCTGGAGCCCCAGAATGGACTATTCTGCTCCACTACAGTGCTCTCCTCATCTACAGCTTGTGAGTAGGACCGTTGTTGTTTTTATCTGCCAAGCCCCTTCCTCACCTGCCCTGTCATATCTTATCCAGAACAAGATGGAGTTAGAGCTGTTCAGCAGACACTGAGTTTGCTCGGTCAGTCTAGTCGCAGTGAAGGGCAGTCATGAAATTCCCCCAACAGGCTTTGTATTCTCTGTATAGCTAGCTAACCGCTTACCCGCTGTCCCATAGCAGATATACTGCTGCAGTGCAGCTACGTAAATATACGTGATTTTGCATTTCCAGCATTTCCGCTGTTACTGGCTCCCGAGAATATTAATCACCGGGTCCCAGCCGGTGATTTTCAGCCGAGACTCGGTGATCATCAGCAAAGCTGAGAGGGGAGAGACTTGTGTGTAAACAACACAGATCTCTCTCCTGGCAGCATGGACGTGCTGCTTGGGCTCATGTACATGGGGCGTTTGGAAAACTCTTCTGAACGATGGAAACTGACTGCTGGAAAACGTAGGTTAAAAACGTCAGTTTAGCCACGTTTGCATACCGCGTTTATGTGCGTTTGCGTTTAGAAGCGTTTTTTAAAAGATAACCTCAGGAGACCTTTCCAAATGCCCAGAATGCCCTGAAAAATAGTAAAAAATTAACTATTTCAGACATTTTGAGAGAAATAGAAAGAGCAGAAGCAGAGAGATCAGTGTATGTTGAGATGACCTGTCTTTTCTGGTTGTATGCACTATGGATCCCATCATGAGCATAATGCAGCACGTTCTACCATTTTTTCCTTCACGCAAAACCTGGAACTGACTGTGCTGGTGTACTAGGTCCATTTGAATACATGGAAAATGCTTTGCATGCACTTCTGATGATAAAAAAAGGATCTGGACAGCATCTGGACATGGAACAGTTAAAAAATGCTTCTAAACACAAATGCTTATAAACGTGGTTAACCGCGTTTACAAGCATTTAGCGTTTGAACACTGGTAAAATCTACTCCTGAACGCAAGTTTGGTGCATTCAAAAAAACAACTGTAAACTCAACTGCCTGTAAACGATTGTAAATTACTATGTGTACATGGACACATAGGAAAATATTAGGGAGATTTCGGGGACTGCTGAAAAAAACGCTGAACAGCTCCTGAACGTCAGTTTAGGAGCTGCAGTGTACATGAGCCCTTATATCTCTCTGCTATCTCTCTGTTATAAAACATTTATTTTCAGGAAAAAATAGCTATGTTTCTGTCCATGTTCTTATAAATCTTCCTGTATATACAGTATTTTAAAAATCAAAATGTTACATACTGTATGTGAAGCACTGAATACGTTGTAGGCGCTATAGATATACCTGCAACAAATAAATTAATATGTTAATAATATGCTTCTGGTAGAACCACACCCATTTTAAATGAATGCCCCGCCCATAATTAAAGTACATGCTCTGCCTACCATGGCTTTCTGGACATGCAGAAAAAAGGTGTCCCTCAAAACATTTTGTAAATATTGGCAACCATGCAATTGCCACCAGCTTCTGGTGGATGGGACACATAATGCCTAGCAGCCTTTTTTGCACATGTGCTGCAAATTTGTGACTTAGAACACAATTCATTAAGCGGTATCTTACCGCATCCAAGTATGCGGTAGGATACCGCATAGCATTTAAAATAAAAATGCTACTAAAACACCACATAAGTTACTTTATCAAGTCATGTGGTATGTTAATAGTGAAAAACATGCGTTATTGTTTCAGCTGTCAGCGAGGCTCCCCACTGACAGCTGAATGTAAAAGAAAGAATTGCTGGCAATTAAAGAAATTATTTTTAAAAATGGCGTTGGGTCCCCCCGTCCTTCTATACCAAGCCCTTCGGGTCTGGTATTGATTTTGAAGGGAACCCCCATGCCAAAATAACACAAAAAATTTCATGTGGACCTGCCAAAATCCATACCAGACTCTTATGTGAGTATGCAGCCCAGCAGGTCAGGAAAGGGGTGGGGACGAGTGAGCCCCTCCCCCCTCCGAACCATATCAGCCACATGCGCTCAACATGGCGCTGCCAATGTTGATAGGGACAAGGGCCTCTTCCCCACAATCCTGGGCTATGGTGGGGGGTCTTATCGGAATCTGTAAGCCCCCTTTAGCAAGGGGGCCCCCAGATTCCCCGCCTATGTGAATGAGTATGGGGTATATGGTACCGCTACCCATTCACAAAAAAAACTGTTATGTGAAAAAAGACAGGCGACAGTCTTTGACTAGTCCTTTATTAAAAGAAGGAAAATAAAAGAAGTAGATCCAACATCAATCATGATGCCCGCCACTGGCCTGAAAAAAGATATAAAAAAAGGCTCCGGTCTCGATGATGGCTCCACTGGCTTGACAGTTCTTAAATATGTAAGGGGTGGGGCCACCGGGTGACATCATCGACCGGGGCATGCTGGCTCAATGATGTCACACGGGGCGGGGTGACATAAAATTTGAATAAATTATGTTAGCATTTGTGTAAGGGGGGGGGGAGGGTCAAAATAAGACATCATTGTTCAAATGAGTTTAGTTCCACTGTAGGGCAATATACTGTAGTGAGGTACTGTAAAAACAGAAAGCTCAAAAACTATACCATCAAACTGTTTGCCACTTTGTTTTATTAAAACGCTCAGCTTTGTACCAATGCCTTTCCTATAAGCTAAACGAAAAATACCAACTGCTCTAATTAATTAATAACAAGTTTTTAAAGTAAGGCCCCAGTGGAAGGGCTTTGCACAGAGCAAACAAAACAGAAAAAAATCAAAGCACACTTACCAGCTAGGCAAGAAAAAAATTACACTAACAATTTACATTAAGAAATTAGTAAATATTGTACACATGGAAGTCACACTGCCACGTCAGAGCCCATATGTGTAGTGTGGCCCCTAACTCCACTCTATGGGAGCCTCCATGTTGGAGTTTTTCTATAGCTTTTAGATTGTGGCTGCTATTTCCACTGGTCAATTCAGACCTATTACTGTTGGATAAAAAATCAAGTTGTAATCAAAACTACCTTAAAGCCTTCCATTTTGCATTGAAATAAATAATATTGGGGTGCTGCTTACACATACAAAATATGTAAAGCCAGAGTACGGAGTTGCTGTTGTTTCCCTGAAAATTTTATTGTTCCATAACACCACATACAGCTTAAAGATAACTCTCAATCATGTAATGGAAAAGATTGATGTTTACCCCATGTCATCTTTGAAGTTTTATAAATCCTTTCCTCTCATGGTGTTTTTTTTAAATTTTTTAATTTTTTGCATTGGTGCATGCTCCGCATGGCAGTGCTGAGCTCCCCATGCCCTTTGAAATTCCCTTACCTATCAGCCTTCAAAATTAATTTTCAAATTTAATTTTCAAGATTCATCTCCATAGACATCAGTGGGGTTCAATTTTAAGTTTGCAACTTTCAGACTTTACAGTGGGTTTGCCAAGTGCTTTGAAAATTGATCCGAGACACATTCACTCATCCTTAGTCATTTCCACACAAATTCCAAATTATACTCATTACCAAAAAGTACAAAGGGTGCTTCAATTCCCTAGAGCGCAATCCTTTATAAGGCTCCAGAACAAATCAATTGTAATAAAATATTATGACTAAGCACAAAACAACGTTCTCTGCAAATAATTTTTTTTAATCTTTCAACAAAACATTTTAATAGTATTGGTACATCAGAGATGCAGATATCTTTTTTAACTGGTTCTTGACCGCACTATAGCTGAAAGACAGCTACAGCGCGGTCTTCTAGTTCTGGGAGGGCATCCATGGATATCCATCCGAGAACGCGCTCCCTGCATGCTTCCTGTGGCGCACATCTGGACGTGTCTGTGACTGCTGTGTACCTTGGACACAGCACATCACAGATTGAGGTAAAGGGCCAATCACAGCGGCCCTTCACCACGTGATCGCTATGTCCAGTGACACGTGATCACTAATGTAAACACTCCGGGTAATCGTGAGGTTGACAGCTCTCCTTCCCTCACACTCGTCTGTGCCGTTCACAGTGAGTTACTGCCTACATTACAGTGTTACACAGTGCCCAAACAGTGTCACACATTGTCCAAACATTGTCACACATACCCAAACAGTATCACACAGTGTCCAAACAGTGTCCCGTGCTGTTTATCAGTGCCACCTATCAGTGCTGCTTCATCAGTGGAGCCTTATCAACGCCCATCAGTGCCACCTAATCAGTGCAGGACTCTGCCTCATCA